GACAGAGAGAGAGATGGTGAGAGCAGGAACACAAGCAGGGGTAATGGGAAAGGGAGAAGCAGGCTTCCTGCCGAGCAGGACCCTGGGATCATGACCTGAGCTGAACGCAGATGCTTAATGACTGAGCCACCGAGGCGCTCCAAAATTTATATTTTCTTAGGTGCTAAGCTTTACTTATGTATCCAGAAGACATCTAGTGATTACTTACCACATGCTAGGCACTGTGTTAGGTATTGGAGATATAACAATGAAGAAGGAGAATACAATCCTTCTCCCAGATGGCAAGTTTAGAGGAAGATACAGATAAGTAAGTGTGCAGGTGCATAACAGTGTGGTTAACTACTATGATATGGTAGTATAGGCTGCTAGAAGAGCTAGTAACAATACTAATTACTATGATAATGACCAACTCATATTTATTTTTTTTAAAGATTTTATTTATTTATTTGAGAGAGAGAGAGAATGAGAGACAGAGAGAGCATGAGAGGGAAGAGGGTCAGAGGGAGAAGCAGACCCCCTGCTGAGCAGGGAGCCCGATGTGGGACTCGATCCCAGGACTCCAGGATCATGACCTGAGCCGAAGGCAGTCGCTCAACCAACTGAGCCACCCAGGCGCCCACCAACTCATATTTAGCACTACTATGTCCCAGGCACTGTTATCATTTAATCCTTTCAATGGCTCTATGATGCTGGTACTTATGATTATCTCCTTTTATAGATGAAGAAACTGAGGCATAGGAAGATTAGGTGACTTGTCTAAAGTGCAACAACTAATAAGTGGCAGAGCCAATATTTAGGGGACCTACCCCAGATTCAGTGATATCAAGAAAGCTTCCAAGAGGAAATGATGTAGAAGCTGGAGTTGGCCATGGGTTTTTAGGAAAAAAGGTTAGAAGAGACGTATCCCAGACGGAGGAAATAATATCCACAAACACTGGCACTGGGAAAGAGCAAATAATAACCAAGAAGTTCAATTTTGGCAAGCGGAGACTGAAAGGGAGGAAGTGGTGAATGACCAGGTGGGAGGAAGAAGGGGCAGACTGTGCAGGGGTGTGATAAGACATATTAAAGGACTTAGATTTTTATCTCAAGAAGAGTAGGGAGCCATCAGAAGCAGGAGGGTGACATGATGAAAACTGTTTTTGAAGCTCCCCTTGTAATGGAGTGGAGAAGGGACTAGAGTGAGGTAAGAGCGTCCATGGGGGGGGCGCCTGGGTGGCTCAGTTGTTAAGCGTCTGCCTTCGGCTCAGGTCATGGTCCCAGGGTCCTGGGATCGAGCCCCACGTCGGGCTCCCTGCTCCGCGGGAAGCCTGCTTCTCCCTCTCCCACTACCCCTGCTTGTGTTCCCTCTCTCACTGTAAATAAATAAAATCTTAAAAAAAAAAAAGAGTGTCCATGGGGACCCCATCATCAAATGACCATTGCAATAATTCAGACAAGAGATGAAGAGAGTCTGACCTAGGGTTAATGGCATTGTACATGGAGAGACAGGAAGATCTGAGAGATCTCTAGGAGGCAGAGTCCATGAGAATGGATGACATGCGGATGAAGAAGGGAAAGTGATGCTCTTGCTTGACTAACATGGGGCTAAAGTGTTCAAAGAAAGGAAAAAGACTAAACAGAACAGAATTAGCATGAGTAGGAAAATGAGTTCATTCTGGACGTGTTGAGTTTGAGTAGTTGGTGCCTGGAAGACAGTTGGATAGATAAGTATGAGGCTTAAAAGACAGATCTGAACTGTAGTTATGTTTTTGGGAGCCTTCATCATTTAGATAGTAATTGAAGGCATGGGTGTCCCTGAGGTTGCCCTGGGAGGGTGTGTAAAGAGGAGAAGAGGACCCAGGTCAGCACTGAAGAAACACCACATATAATGAACTGACAGGGGAAGAGCCTCCTTCAATGGAAACTGAGAAGGGGTGGATGGAAAGGGAGGAGAAAATCCAGAAGAATGTGTTGACATAGAAGCTTAAAAAGAAGACGACTTCAAATGTAAAGGAGAAAGGTCAGCCTTGAAAACTCAACCAGAGAGCTCGGGTAACAATGAATGACAAGGAAGCTGATTGTGGATGATCTTGGCAAGAGCAATTTTAGTGGATTGGTAGGAGGGAGAGTCAGTGCTGTGGGTAGAGGAAATAAGGGGGGGCGGTTAGTAGGATAAATGAGCGTGGATGAATTTTATAGAGAGGGTTGGCTGTGAAGGAGAGGAGAGAGAGCGCTGGAGGGGAGAGAGGAGAAGGAATGCATTATTCAAGATAGACTGGAGCAGGTTGAATTGCTGTTGCAAAGGAGTAGGCAGAGCACCAGGAAGAGAGAAAGACTGGGGAGACAAGGTAACCACATGGGAGAAAATGAATCATTGATAAGCTGGAGTGGCCAGGAAGGCAGGAGGCGGTGGAGTTCACAGTGCAGACAGACTGGTCCCTCTCCTCACGAAGAGGATGGTGACGTTGCAGGTGTGTCGGGTGGCAGGCTACTGAGGGTTGCTAACTGATGATGGCTTTTGTTTTCTCTGTAATCTAGATGGTGATACCTTCTGCTGGGGGGTTGGGTGGAGGTTGCGCCACTGAAGGTTTGAGGACAGTTCAGAAGGTTTTAAACAGCTGCCTGTGGCGAAAGGACAGGTGACTAAGGAAACAGGACTGCAGGGAGACTGGGCAAAGTTGGAAACCACACCGTTATGGTGATGTCACTCTGAACAGTCTGTGAATTTCTTTGACAAGTTCAAGGCACGAGTTTAGGGGACGTGGACCTGCAGATGGACCTGGATCTGGGAGGTCTTGAGGGAGGCTTTGACAGAAAGGCAGTGGCAGAGGGGAGTTGGATGTATTGGGGAGGAAATGGCTGAAGTGATGATCTTTGGACGCCAGTTGACATGGAAGGAGGTGTTGATGCTGAAAAGCTGATGTAACAGGAGAACTTGAGTGTTGGAGCAGGAAAGAGCACTCATTTTAACTTTAGTCCCCCAGAGGTGGAAGGCCCTTGGGAGCTAAGAATAGTTTTTCCATTTTTAAATGGTTGCGGAAAAATTTTCATGACACATGAAAATTGCACAAGATTGGGCGCCTGCGTGGCTCATTCAGTTAAACGTCTGCCCTCGGCTCAGGTCATGATCCCAGGGCCCTGGGATCAAGCCCCACATCGGGCTCCCTGCTCAGCGGGGAGAGTGCTTCTCCCTCTCCCTCTGCCACTCCTCCTGCTTGTGCTCTCTCTTTTTCTCTCTGTCAAATAAATAAATAAAAATCTTTTTAAAAAATCGCACAAGACTGAAACTCAGCCACACCCACTTACCGCATTGTCCATGGCTGCTTTGTGGCAGAGTCGAGTCATGCGGAGAAAGACCATAGGTCCACAGGGCCTCAGATATTGACTGTGTGGCCCTTTACAGAAAATATTTGCCAACTTCGATGCTAAAAGAATTGATGGAAGCAGATTTTTTGCTTTTTGCAGTTTGGTAACAGTCATTCCACCATTTCTATCAGAGAGAAAATTGAGGGGAGGCTATGTACATGGATCCCGTATATAAACACCCCATAATTTACTCATTTCTAGAACTGCTTTCTTACTGTTCTGATTTCTTCCTTCTTGCCTGGTGAGGTAAATATGTACCATCTTTTTATTTTCTTTTAATAAATTAAAAAAAATTAGAGCAGTGTTACATTCACAGCAAAATGGAGCAGGAAGTACAGAGTCCCACACACTCCTGCCCCTCACAGGCACAGCCTCCCCCACTGTCCATATCCCACCAGAGCGCTGCCTTTGCTACAATTGATGAACCTGCATAGACACACCATTATCACCCAAAGTCCATAGTTTATTTAGGGTTCACTCTTGGTGTTGTACATTTTAATGGTTTTGACAAGTGTGTAATGACTTGTATCCCCCGTTGTAGTATCATACAGAGTAGTTTCACTGCCCTAAAAATCCTGGGCTCTGCCTGTTCAGCTTTCCCTCCCCTCTAACCCCTGGCAACCACTAGCCTTTTTATGCTCTCCATGGTTTTGCCTTTTCCAGATGTCATATTGTTGGAATCATACAGTATGTAGATTTTTTCAGATGGGTTTCTTTCACTTAGTAAATGCATGTAAGGTTCTGTTGTACATTCTTTTTGATATTTGGGCCAGGCAGGGGTGGACCCTGGATACCAATTTCTAAGAGCTACTGACAAGATAGAGAAAATTGTCTTTTCCAGAAATCTTCTTGGTGAGAGTGTTGTATAAGGAGTAGGGGATGAGGCTCCCAAGAGTCCAAGGGTGGAACACGGGCCAGTGAACTCCATTGTGTGGGGGGAGAGAGCAGTTAACTCTAGGGTGGCAGTTCTCCTGAGTAGGGTCTGTAAGTTTGAAACCAGCATGGAGCTGCTAGGGATTAAGACACCGCAGGTCCCATATAGGCAGTCCCTCTCCTTTCTTTGATGTTCTTCCACGTGCCACTACATATGGCATATGTACTATAAATAAATAGTCCCCCTAAATTTAAAGAATATTGACTTGAAAGGTGTCTAATTATTAGTCTGCTCGGAGTGCCCACACGTCTTGCAATAGCTCAAGATATATATTGTTAGTATGATGTAAAAGGACTTTGGAAGATTGAATTCTTATTCCAATCTTTATCTTTTGGTGGCTTTTGATTTTTGTTCTTATTTTTGCCTAGTTGGTAATACATCATTTGCAACCTCAGGTGAGGCCACCAAATAACACCTGTGAACATCTTGGCATCATTTGAACAACATGATCTACAAGAACTGTGTTGTTGCATTTGATTCTCAGATTCTTCGCCTTGTCAAGTGTTTTTTAGGGAGTCTGAGAGAGAGAGAGATGTTTGGAGCTGATACTGATATATCTCACGATTAGATTACACTTATTACTTCACTTCAACTGGCTTTATTGAAAGTCTGCTGTGGGCACCGGGTGGCAGAGGATGAGTAGGACACGGTCTGTTCTTGGCATTTAGTTAATGGAAAAACATCTGCTGAATTTGTTTCTTTTCCACTTGTCCCTTAGGTCCAGGTGAACCCAGGACTTGGTGTCAGAAATGGCGAGCTTTCCTTTCTGAATGGCACCTCGGGAGCTGACGCACTTCTCCAGGGCTCCCGGCTGATCCCTGTCTCCACAAGGAGGACCCTGGAGCCACAATGCCGAAGGAACCGGTCCAGGAGGCTCAAGGTGGGTTCTCTGGAGTGCGCAGAGCCTGCTGAGAGCTCTGGGTCAGACAGCTGTAGTGGCACCTCGTGGAAAAGCCCTGGCTGCTTGTCCCAGGACAGGAGCTCTGCAATGGGCATCCAGATGCATCTGCCTTCTCCCCACCTCCAACCTGGGGCCAGAAGAAAGGTCCTCAGCCTGCAAGACAGCTTTGGGAAGCTGGAGGCAGAAACGAATGTTGACACGGGGTGCACCGTGGTCAATTCTGGACCCCGACAGTCTTTTCTGAGCAGATTTTCAAGGGATGTCCGGACCAGCCAGGCACCACCCTGCTTGCCAGACTCCTCCTCAGGGGCAACTGCCTCCAAGAACAACAGAGTCTTTAAGGCAAGGACCCATTCTTTGTCACTTGCTGGCCAAAGGGATCTTGGTGCAAGGAAGATAATCTCACAATGTCCCCTTCACCTGCCAGTCCAGGGTGAAGAAAAAGAAGAAGAATTCTTTATATAGCATAAAACAAATGTGGTTTCCTAAAACACAAGATCAGATATAGTGTTCTAGAAATGGAGCACTGTTTCTTGGTCACGTGATGGGTCCTGAATGTTAGCCAGGCACCGATCTGTATTGCTTTTATTTCAAATGTGCATAGTCTAACGGTGCTGTGAAGTATTGTTTATTTGCCATCATGGTCATGAAGAAATACAGCCAGCACATAGGGAGAAAGCCCAAGGCCCTGTGTCCCTGAAGACACACTAACCCAGCTGGGTGTGTTGATTTCAGCACCTATCAGGAATAATTGCTTTGTATGCCAGTGAGTCGGATGTGTTATGCAATGCTGATGAGTGGATGTAATTTAGTTTTAATTTTTACTTGGGTTGCATAGCTCATCCCCCTGGATAACATGGACTATTTATTCTTTAGTGTTTTTTAATTTTTATGTGACCTCCTTTGGTAATGAGGCCCTGTACACCACGTAGCCTCTGGTGATTTTGCCTTTAAAGTTGTTTGCCTCTAGAATGAGTTCACATGCGAGGGTTTTGAAAATTACGAACAATTAATTTTTTTTCCTGTTTAATAAGCAGAAACCCTAGAAGTCAAAAGATCAGGTGAAAAATGAAAGCGAGGTTCTAGGATTTCCCTGCTCCTCCATTTCTCATTTGTTTCCGCACTACTCCAAAGGGGCCAGTGGTTCCCGTTTCTAACCAGAGAGGAATGTGACATGATTGGATGATTCCAGAGCTCTACTTGACGTGGCAGGAAGATTAGATTGGATGCGTTGTTGGAGCAGGACTTGCGTTCTTCCGGCCAAGTTCGAATTCCTAAATTTCCTTGCAATACGCATTCATCCATTTATACATTCATTCATTCAGCAAATATTTATTGAGCACCTACCTTTGAATAAGACATTGACGTATGGTCCACATACAATCTTTGGCCATCAAACCCAAAAGATATATATGGTCTCCCAAGTAGAAATCCATTCTATCAACACTTGAGAATATGTTGAAATCTTAACTTAATTCCTCTGGGACCCTTTTCCACAGCGATTTTCACACTTGCTGCACAAGGCTGTAGTAAGCAGGTGTAGACTGGGCGTGTTATGATTCTAATTATAACCATAAGGGACAAATTCTCGTTGCTCTTGTGCTGTATTTTTCTGTTGGGTCTAAACACACATTTAAAAAATATCTGAGGTCTCTGTGTTGTGGCTACTTTATAAGGTTATTTGACTCCACGAACTTTATTCTCCAGGACAGATGTTACGTAAGATTATAAATGCTAATTTAGCTGGGTCTTCCGGTGACCCTGATACTTAGTATACCCACTTGAGGAGAAGGATGAGTTCAGGCCCAAGGATGAGTCTTAGGGCAGGGACGCCCACTGAGTTTGGGTGCCCTTCTGAGCTTGAAGAACTGAAACGAAGGAGAGTTGCAAATCGACAAAGACGAGACTTCTACATTGATTTTATTTTTTCTGGGCTCACGACCTCCATACATTCCCATTCTCATTTTCTTTCTCCCTGTCCCCCAGACTAAAGTTAGATTTTAGGAAGTAGAATGAAGAATTTTGGTCTGCTTTTCTAGAATAAGAGTTAAGAAAAATGAAAGTCTTATTTAAATGGAACTATTGAGCTGCCTTGAAAAGCACAGCAGGGGGGCAGTTCTGAAATTTCTTTCCCACTTTTTTTGAGGTAACCTGAATTCTTTAACATAATACATGGGTGAGACTATAAGTACATGGAAATTATGAAGAATACTGGAAAATGTGAAGGAGTACCTTACAAAATTGACTTGAAAATAATACACTCTTAAAATGGCACCGGCTCTGCTCCTCTACACAGCAATCCAATTTACAACATGGTGGGATGGACATTCCAATGGGCCAGGGTGCCAAAGGCCCCACTTTTGGCCTCAGCTTTTAAATTTACTACTTATGGGACCTTGAACTGTCAGCGTCGTTGATCCTCTGTTGCCTTTCCTATTGTAACAAAATGTTGTTAAGAGAATCAAGATGATGCACATGAAAGCATTTGGATATTATTAAGCCTTATAAATATGTAAGATAGTATTATTATTATAAATGGTCCTTCAGACCCATGGTTTTTTTAAATGTCATGCCAACAGGAGGTTTTTTGTTTTTTTTTGTTTTTTTAGAAACAACTTTTAGTAAAATCAATGATTCAATAAAAAAAAAAAAAAAGCTCCGTAAGAATTTTTGCTATGTGTGCCATTTACTTATGTTCACATATTTAGGAGGAAAATTATGGACGGAAAGAATCAAGTATATCCTACAGTTCAAAAGAGATTGTATGTAACAGGAATAAGCTATGGACTAGTTTAATCCAATTTATCAAATTAGCCAGACTCTTTACTTACTTATGCTGTATTTTTTAAAATATAAAACATATCACTTTTTAAATCAGAGGGACTCTTGATAATCAGAGTACTTTATATTTCTTTATAGGTACACTAAAAATCAGTTGCATTGCAGTTGTTTGGCTATTTTTGACCTTATTAATAGTATATCATACTTCTTTGCAAGTGTTATTTGGACATTGCTAAACATTAACAGAAATGAGAGCATTTGGAAACTTTCAAATGTGTTTGTCCATTAGGGAAAGTAGAGCTGGGGGTTTGGGGTTGGGAGGGGGAAGGGCGGGACACCCCTCCATTTACAAAGGGACGTGGGGCAGGAGCCTCGGCTGCTCCCCAATCCACCCTCTGCTCTGAGGAGACTTTGGAGAGGCAGTCTGGTCCTTCCCTGGCCCCAATACTCTGCTCTCCCCTTTTCCTTCCTTCTGGAGAGGGTCCGGGAAAGGGGAAGGGAAGCCAAAGAGAAGAGAATGGAGCCCATTTTCTGTCGATTAGAAACTCCTAAATTTCACCTCCGTGTTATAAAACCTATTCAGAAATTCCTGAGATAACTTAATACTGTCTAACTTTCTTGAATCTTCTCTAAGCCCTCATGCTTGGGCTTTCTCTCCCTTGTCCTTCCTTCTTTCCTTCCCTCTCCTTTCCCTGCCCCTTGTGTTCCTTTCCTTTCCTTTTCCTCCTTGGAATCCACCCTCCACCCCCCACCCCGCCCGGTGCCCTGCACAGGGATTTGATACTCTCTTCATTCTTTGTTCCAACCTCTTTTTTCCCCTCTACTTCACCCCAAGAGAGGACAAAGAGATAATTTTAAATTAACTTATGTTCAGGAAATTTCCCCAAAGGCGTCTCAGTAGGAGGCAAAACCACCAAAAACACGACCCACGTTGGGTGGGAGTTTTGTTTGTTTTTGTTGTTCATTTTTCATCTCCTTTTCCTGAAGGAAATAAAACTTGTACTGCAGAGTGGTACCTCGAAACATAACCAGGTAGCCAATGGATTTGACATGACAGATCACATGCTGGCCAGGAGTTCTATCATAGCCGGAGGACCAATACCCCACAAAGCTAGCGGGAGGTAGCAACCGTCCCTAACACCCAGTACAAGCACTTCCATAGGCAGAGAGCTTGACCATGCACTGTAAAAACAGGATCCCTTCACACCTGGCAGAGTGAGGGGACATGCCACATAGACCTGACCAATCACCTGCTTCCCTCTGGAATTCTGAGGCTCCTAGCAAGGATGGGAAACCTCCTTTAGGTGGGTGGTGCGGGAGGGGGAGGGTAGGCAGCAGAGTTCTGGTCCTGGGGAGAAGTGATGTCGGGTCTTTGGCTAAGCCCTTATCCCAGATTGGTTCTGGGGCCTGATTTTGGTTGTGATTCTGCCTGTTCACCTTCCTATTGTTCTTGTGCATTTTCTGAACCCAGTTCCCCAGCCTTCTGATAAATGAATTCTCAGCTTAAATCAGCCAGCGTCCGTTCTGTTTATGCACCAAATAACTGAGATCGATACAGAGTGAGGCGCTAATAGGGGTTAAGGCCAAGTACAAAACTGGGGCACTGTATTAGGGAACTGAATTTTCAAAGGGATAAACAAAGATGCTAAAAACTATTCATTTGGGGGTTCGGTGTCTCTTTGAAGTTTTCTTAACTTTGATTCTTTTGACTCTTTTCTGTTTGGATTGCTTCTTTTTTCTCCCTTATGGCTGTGGCAGTAAGACCTGCCCCCTCCCCTTTCCCACGCTAAGAAGGAAGCAGGATGGGATCCACAGAAGGGGGGGTCAGGGTCCCATCTGAGAAGTGCTCTGTCTCTAGACTTTTGTCCAGGCTAGACAAAAAGAATCCAACATGTAGTCAGTCATAGGTCACCAGAACAGGCCCTGAATTACAACCCTTTCATTCACACGCAAGAGAGACTGGGAACTCATTTAAACAAAAGGGGAAAAAGGAAAGTCACGTGACTAAAAGACTGTCAGGCAACCACAGCGTCAGGGTCACATCCCGCCGGCTAGCTCCCTAGTGAATAGAGGGGTCCTTTCCCAGCGCTTCCGAAGAAAATTCCCGGAGAGGCCTCTGATTGGCCTGGCCTGAGTCACATGCTCACCCCTGAACCAATCACTGCGCCTGGATGATGGAGTTCACTGATTGGCGAGCCCATGGTTCTGTGTCTATTTGTGGGAATGCGATTTGGGAGAGACAGGAGGAAAGGGGGCAGCCCCACCTCAACACCATGGAAAGGGTCCCCACAGGAAGGACTTTCTACTAATTGGAGGAAGTGAGAAGAGATGTCAGCAGACAACAAAAACAGGTGTCCACCCTGGCCCAAACTGTAGCTGCTAACAAAGGAAAAGCATCCTCTTGCATGGTCCCTCTGAGGAAGACCCCAGAAGCGGCTCCTGGTCACCTCTTTCTTACAAAGAACTTGCCTTTTGACAACGTGAGGCCTTCCAGCATCTGGCCTCCGTCAGTCCGTTTTGTTTTTTTTTAGAGTCTGTATTAGTTTCCTAGAGTTGTACGAATGAGCACAAACGCCGTGGCTTAAAGCAACAGGAAGTTATACAACCACAGCTCCGGAGGCCACAAGTCTGAAATCAAGGTGTTGGCAGGGACACACCACCTCCGGAGGCCCAAGTGGAGAATCCTTTATTGCCTCTTACAGCTTCTCCAGTGTTCCTTGGCTTGTGGCTGTGAAAGGCCAATCTTTGCCTCCACCTTCAGTCACCTTCTCCTGCTCTTTGTCTCTCGCTGTCACTTACAATGACATCTGTCATTGGATTTAGGGGTCACCAGAATAACCAGAATGATCTCAAGATCCTTAATTACATTTCCAAGACCCCTTTTCCAAATAAGGTCACATTTGCTGTTTATGTTGTCTGTCACCCTTCCTTAGCCTACCCTACTTCTCTCTCTCTCCTTTACACACACACACAAACATAACCTCCATAGAGTTAGGACCTGCCTGTCATTGTCATTTTTGTATCCATAAGGCCTAAAACAGTGCTTGAACCAGAGTAGACACTCTGTGAATGTTAGTTGATTGAATAAAAGAACAAAAGAGTTGATCTCCTTGGATTGTGTCCCTTAGTGCTTCCTCCATACATTTAGTCCTGCTCCAAACCCGTTCTATTCTGTTGAGTATGCATTTATCTCTGTCCTTCATTAAAATACACACTCTCTGAGCCTCTTTTTCCTGATTGTGGGTGATCATTTTTGCCCTTTAATTCAGAGCAAGGAAATTTAAGTGCCAAATACTGTGCTCGATGCACCCTAGGAATTAATAGGAGATGAAGAAAAATGTAAACATATTTCATAGTTTGGGTTTTCCTTTCATTGCTTGCCCAGCTGTAAATAATTTTGGCTTTCCCCCTCCTCCCAATGTTTCTCATCTCAAATTACAGGTGAAGCTGGAAGTCACTGTGTGCCCAGAGCCTTTGACTAGTTTTTTGATCTGCCTCTCCTTTTTCAACTCAGTCACCTCCCCCAATTCTTATTTCCTTAACTTGACCCTGAGCAATTGAGGCATGAAAAGGAAGCTTCAGACAGACGCTAAACAGATTTCAATAGGTTGATGGGTATTAAAGAGGGCACATTCTGCGTGGAGCACTGGGTGTTATGCACAAACAATGAATCATGGAACACTACATCAAAAACTAATGATGTAATGTATGGTGATTAACATAATAATAAAAAATTATTAAAAAAAAAAAGAAAAGCAGGAGGCTAACCCTTGTTGACTGCCTTAAATCTAACTTAAAAAAAAAAAAGTCATAATTAACATGCTCTGCTACCCAAGCAGCTGCCTTGTCAGTCTGAAACACCTACTGGGAAAGGAGTAGTAATGGAGTAATTTCTGAGACACTTCACAGCCACAAAGATAATTAAATGACAGCAGGGATGCCCCACAGCTTTGAGGGCTGGCGTGTGACCACTCATGTGTGCGTGGAAGCTTCCTGATCGCTCTGGACAGGCGTTTTTGAGCCCCCAGCACCCAGCAGCACAGGGCTAGACACTTAGGGGACATGTGCCTGCTGTGGGGTCAGAGTCTTGTCACGAGAGCCCAGTTCTCACATTTTTGCAGCAAGGAGTCTGTGTACACCAAAGAACCAGACTTCAATTACTTTGCACATTGCTGGGCTAAATGAGCGAGCTTTCCAGGGGCCCTGCAGACACCACAAAAATGTTCCCCCAGAGCAAAAGCATAAAAACATAATGGTCTTGCTGTAGATGTTGCCCCACAAACCTCCATGCAGGACTCCTCAGGAATGAAAACCAGATTGGGAGCCGAGCCTCAAGATCCATCGTCAGTGAGGCAGCTCCTCACCGCTTGTCACCACGTGGATGCGGGGCTGGGGTCCAAGGTCAGCCACACCCATGAAAGTCTCGGGGAGGCAGAGTCATTTAACACCTAATTTGACTTGGGGAATATTTGCCGTTTGCATACAAACAGGAGATATGCCGATGGGTGATTGGAGTCGACTTCACAAGACAGGTTTTTCCCTTTCGTTGTGAGTGTAATTTAGGCAGGAAGCAAAAGCATGACTGTGTCCCGGGCAGTCTGAATGCAGTCTGCAATGTGTCCCTGTAAATTTCGTAGGTTAAATTTAATATGTTGGACACCATGCAGTTATACTCCAGGCATATTTCTGTCCTCCATCGTGCTAAAATTAAGAT